GGTGCGTTCCAATAAGTCTTCCTACCAATATGACCATGTTGCGAAAACAAGGTCAAACAACTTCTATATATACAACGTTTTAGGGATTTGTCGGTGAGTTTTCTTGACTCGTTAGCTTGCATTTTGTTGTGACGATGATACCTTGCTCTGATGATGTTCGGCATATGATGGACAAAAGCTCAGCACCTTTTCACCGGAATCGAAGGCGACCAGAAATAGGCGTCCACAATTTGCTAATATATCATGGGTTTAATCTAGGAGTGGACCAACGAAGGGAAGGACTGATATCTGCAAGCATGACAATCAGAGCCTAGGCGCTCTGCTTAGTGAAGGGCCTTGAGAAATAGCGCATGGAGTGAAATTTACACTGGGACTTGAATCGAATGAAATCGTTTAACCACAAAGATAGGGAACTGATCTACAGGACCATGAGGCAGATCCGGATAGGAGGCCTGAGCCGGATTGGCCGATCGAACGAGGGGATCAGGGTGAATGATAAGTGTGATGAGACCATACTAAATTTGCCCAAAAGGGCATACATTTTAATGATCGAATGTAAACAAGTCAGAAGTTGTGATAGAGTGGGAGTTGGATAAGAGGGTAAAGAGTTGATAATGGGCCAGGACAGAAGGAGGAATGATAGTGTAACCGTTTTGGGCAGAACGTTGGTGGAGCGATTGAATTCACTTGTTTCTTTGACAAGCTCGTAGCTCGGTGCTGAGGTTGGCAACACTCATTGATGATGCCGACTACGATGCCAGCCAAACGTCTGAGAATGCATCAAGTCCACTATCTGATGCTGGGAATTATGACAGAGGATTTCGGGCAAGGTGCGTTTAACTAAGTCGCCCTCACTACAAGACTAAGCTGCGAAAACGACGTCAGATTATATCTATTTATCGAATAGTTACTGCGACCATAGCATCTTGATCATCAAATCTAAGCATGTTTGATGCTTGTGTAGTTTTTCATCTCATTATTTGATTGGACAATACGATGTTAATCTTTGGTTGATTTACGTTTTATAGGAATTAAAGATCAGACATACTCTTACGTGATCTCTGAGTCAAAAGATGTTGAGCCATGGCTACTAGGTTATATGGCAAAATTAAGCATTGAATGGGAAAGTGTAGGGATAGGTCACTACATATTTATTTTATCATTTCCAATATATCAACCAGCATTCTCATATTGTTATTTATGCCTTTTGTCATCTATATATTTTCAGTTTTGCTGTGTTGACTGTTTTTCATGTGATTGTTCTTGCTGATTATATTTGTACGTCGATTTCTCTGGATGACGGCTTATTTTCTCTGTAATGAAGTCGTTTGATTTGTCTACGACGTTTAGACTGACGCAGTCCTTGAGATGTCTTTCCTTATTTCATATTAAAATGGGCTAAGCTTTTGTCCCACATTTTATAGATATCGTCGAACCCAGAGCTCATACTTGCAGCTATAAACGAAACTATCTATATATAGCTTGATATATATTGAATACATTGGCTAGTTCTCTATTTAAAGTCTCCTTACTCTATTAATCAAGCATAAATAGTTCTTTCTCAATTTCATATTTCCATTCTTTACGTATTTCATTAATTTAATTGCCTTCTGCGTTTATTAAGACAAATACTATGATCGACAAATTGATCCACTTGGGACCATTTTATCTCTTTCCAGCTTCTGTCTTGTGCTCAGTCACTTTTGACCTTTGGACCCAGCTAACTGTACATTTTTTTGTATGTACGGCTAACCTTTGGTGAATAGATCGACAGGTCTTATTAACATAAGGGCCAGCATATGAGCACAGTTTCTTGTAGCAGCCGCATCTTGATAATTTATCATATTTCTCTTCAAAAGAGTGTATGTAACCTGTTAGGTAGAGTCGGCTGATCTTCTCTATTTAGTGTTTATTTTGAGCTTTTACAAGAATTAGTTCCAGATATGATAATGCCTTTTATATGAGGGTCGAAAGCTCAAACGATTAAAACAACGGAGATCAGTCGTAGTTTTCATCGGAGACGTTCAGACGAAATGAAAATCATCACAATAGTGAGTTTTCATAAGCTTAATTAAACATCATTTATTCATCGTTTATACCTTGTCATTTTTGTTTTTTTATTTAATTACCTGCTCATCCATTTAAGAAATTCAACGAAAGAGTTGGTGTTTTGGATCGTCGTTTTCGTGTGCCACTTTCTTCGACTCAGGAGCGAGCGAATTGTACAGACGAATCTTTGACTGCTGTTGATCTCCTGAGCTTTGATGCTCTGGGTGTTTCTAGTGAGGTATATGCATATGATGTTGCTACGTTTCGCATAAGCCTCATGCAGCCACTACCACGTCTCTTGGCCAGTTTGATCGGACATGGCTTGGAAATGGGACTAGATCGTCGTTGCGATCTTTATTTAGACAATAAGGTAAGCATGACATTTTACTTCGAATTAACCCAGCCTTATTTCACTAAAATGCCAGGCTTATATTAGAAAACTGCAACTAGTTTATAGGCTATTTTTAAAAGTATTTCGAGGTCCATGAAAAAGGTTTTTGCTAACCAAATAAATAACCAAGCTGAGGTACTCTTCCCTTCATCCGCACATTCTATTTCCACTCACGCAGATAATTCCCTTTGCAAATAGATTAATGGAGCTATCGTCAAAAGGCTTAAGGGTTGTCATTTTAAATAAGGATTCATATTAATCTATCAAACTAGTAGATAAAAAGCATTAGAAAGCAGCAATTTGTTTAGAGGTTATGATCTCGTATTACTAAACCCTAACATTCCGATAAATGAACCGATTTAAGCTCTAGAATTAAATCGAAGGTATTAAGACCAAGATGGTGTGGCCCTTTGTGTGGTCGCAATCTCCTTTCGTTGTATATTAGTAGTTTGACCTTGTTTTCGCAACTTGGTCCTATTGGTAGGAAGGCTTAGAGGAACGCACCTTGTCCCAAGTATGCATGATAATTTCTAGAGTCGGACTATGGACGTGATACATTTCCAGACATTTCGCCGGCATCGTAATCTGCATCGTCAGTGAGCTTTGCCATTTTCAGCACCACACTACAACTCGTCAAAGGGACAAGTTTAGCAGAAAATTGCTCAAAGTATCGGCTTCACTTGTCTCTTTGAGAATGGTAAAGAATGGTAAAGAATGGTTAAGAATGGTAAAGCTCACTGACGATGCCGGTAAAGCGTCTGGGAATGTATCACCCCCACGATCCGACTAGAAATTATCACGCATACTATTGACTCTGGAATAGGTTCGTTTATCTAGGTCTTCATTTCAGTATGATCAAGTTGCGAAAACAAGGTCAAATAACTTCTTAATTCTCTTTAGTTAGACACATATTGTAGGCATAAACATTTAAATTCCCTAGTTAGCAAAGAGAAAACCAAATACGGTTTGTAAGTTTATAGAAGATTCAAACATTTTTTATTTCGTTCTTTTAGGGCAATGACCGGCCAGGTCATGAGATAACTCATTTATTGAGAAAAGGGATTATAATATATTTAATACTTAGCTTAAAATCATAGACTTGGGATTAGGGATAGAAATAGGATAGAGACGGCGGGGACCGGAGCTAGTTGGGTGACGGTAAATCGGTTGTACCAGAGGCGTGGTCCATGTAGAAAAAGAATGACCATGAAACTCAGAGGCTTACGCCTCAAATTAGTCCCCCAGACGCAGGTGAGGGCGAATAACGCCTCGAGTAGGACAGATGTTTTGGCAGGAGTCGAGTGAAATAG